TAAATTACAAAAGCAATAAAATAGCAGCGTGTAACATACACGCTGAATGGCGGTTTGAACGAGCACGTAGTGTGCCGTCGTGAGATACGGCGACGACTGGACTGGGCGGGCGGCGACGGCGGGCTCGCTCCGGGCGGCGCCACCGCACAGTACCAACTACAAACACTAAAATAGCTTCGCACCTGCAGCACCGCAGATAAACCGCAACCTGTCCGCTTAAAACAGCTTTGTCTACGATACTTTGACACATTTAAACTTACTTTTATTACTACACATCATTTTAAAATTACCCATCATATGCGACAGACTTTCCGCCATGTCTGTAAGTAGTTATTTTTTACTAGTAGTAACCGCAACTAAGTTAGTGGATAGAGCGAATTTATATATATTTACATTATATACTAGCTAGGTCTACGATAACGTAAATATATAATGTAAATTAACGCATATTGTAAATAGAAGCATGTGAAGGTATTATTTAGATAAAAGTGACCTGTGTTAATCTAGAACATGCTCTACGTGCCAAAAATTCAAATCGTTTATCCGTTTCAAACATTTTTACAAATTTTCACTTTTTTATAATTCTAGTAGATAGTAACTGTATAATTTTATTTGCTTAAATGATATGAATGTGTCTTACAACCACGTAAGATAAAAGAATTATGATAAGAGTTATATAAACCAAAATTAATCATCAAATATTTCATAAATGATTTAATTAATTAAAGTGTAAAGTTTACTAAATTTATTTCTCTTTTAAACTAAAATCTATTTGCAGGAATTCCTATTCGATAGTTTAACAAATTATTAACGTCCATTAACTAAATTTGAACCAATAAGTATCCACTAAGCCACCCTATTTGTTTTCGTCCACTTCGTGTTCATCACTTATTATTATTATTATTCTATACTGATTTCTTTGGTGCTTTTAGGTTAATTATTTAGGTATTTTATTTGAATACTATCTTTCCTTGTTTTTGCTTATTGATTTATTAGGATAGTCTGACAAGAAAATCATTAAGGTATATCTGTTTCAGAACCTGTTAATTATTTATTGATATTTATCGAATAATTTAAAATATTTCTAAACTCCGACTTCAGTACAACTAAAGTAGGACTGACTAAAACCAGTTATTTTGATCTAAAAAATAAATTACTAAACCAATTTTGATACAATTTGGAACCAATAAGGAATTTTCCTAATCAAAGATTACAACTGACGGAGTTATTAGATAACAAAGATAATGAGAAATACAACCGAATTGAGATTATCCTTCGTTTTGAAGTCCATTGTAAAGATTGTGCCCCTTTAGACAAACAAACAATGAATCGATCAATTTATATGTCTCTAATTTTATTATTTCCAACATACCTTGTTTTCTTTTGATATTTTAATATGCACGTGTGAAGGACACTTGAGTTTTCGCAGAAACGTAAAAAAAAAAACCGCTATTTTAGAATGCATTATTATAACAAGTATAAATACTAGCACCTAAAATCTTTTAGTGCGTTATGTAAGCTATGTGTTATACAAAATACAGTATTTTAACTATTTTATTTAAAATACAAATAACAAAATATAGTCCGGTATTAGGTATATAGTATAGAACAAATCCAGTCCAACCTCTTAATCACTAAAAGAAAACAATATTTTTTATTTTTATTACATAACATAATATTTTTACATGTATTGTCAAACGAACAGCCTCTTGATGGAAAATGAATAAAACCTGCTAAAGAAAACAATCTTTAGCATTATCGAACACACTATTTATGTTAAAATGTATTTTGGAACCCAAAATATTTGAAATACTAACCACAAATTATTTCAGCGCAAGGTATTGGAAATATGAATAACTAATTGCATATTTTCAGAAATTATTGAAATACAAATACAAAATATGTATTTGTATTGCAATTATATATTTTAATTATAAATAATTCAATTATTGCCCAGCCCTGCATACAAACATACTCATATTTGTCACACCTATCTCGCATCAGGGAAGGCAGAAACAATAGATAGAAGCTATTTATTATATTAAGAGACCTGTCCTAACAGACAGATTAATTTATGAATTAATTAAATGAAATTAATGACAAATGCTTTTCTGAAATTCTTGGAATTCTGATTACAGATTTGCGCAAGGTGAAGACGCGGGAACTTATAAAATTATACTTATACTGGAATATACATATACCTGTAGCCTGCACGCATTGCCCGAGGTTATATTGCGATGTGATCGTAGATATATAGATAGAGCATCGAGTATCGAAAATGTGTTTTATTGTATTCAATACTAAATAGACATTTGGCTGATTTTATTAAACCAAAATAAAATGTGCTATTTTTTCATTGTTGCAAGTAATTGGATTAAAAATGTCCCAGATTAGGGCGATTTCTTAAATTATTTTAAAACAAAGTCATTATTTTATTTCTTAATTTAACCTTATAATTCGTCTGCTTGGGTAACTCTAGCTCATTCGTGTCTCTACCGTGAAGAAGCAGTTGTGTTTACATTTTCGTTTGAAGGATTTGAGTGCTGGGATCATCATCTCATCTCAGCCATTATCCGTCCTCTGCTGAACATAGGCCTCCCCCATAGACTGCCATAAAGAACGATCCTTAGCCACCTGCATCCACTCACTCTTTACAATGCATTTGAGTTCATCACTCCAACTAGTGAGGGTCGTCCTACACTGCGTTTGTCCTTACGGGATCGCCACTCAAGAACCTTTCTTTCTCATCAGTTGTCGGTTCTTCGACCTATGAGACTAACCTATTACCAGTTATTATTGCTTATCCTTTGGGCTTGTCGATCACTTTAGTTCTTTTGTGGATATCGTCATTTCGGTTACTATCACCCAAAAATCTCCGAGCATAGCCCTCTCTATATTTAACTGATTAATTTGAAGCTTTTGCATACAGGATCGTGTTTCGGTTCCATAAGTCATCACTGGCAACACGCACTGTTTAAATACCTTCGTCTTCAAAACTTGAGATTTAACGTTGGGATATCACAATAAAATTATAAGATATAAAGGCACGCCTACTTAGTCCTTAAGAATGGCAACGGTAACATGGGTGACAACAGTATACTTTATTATGTCCATGGTGTACATGTCTGTAGGCGACAGTTACCACTATCCATTAGATGGGACGTCGATTTGTTTGGCATTCTAGGTTGCATAATAAAAAAAAATATCTTATATTCATTAATAAACGTATATTATGGTAACCCTATTCATACATGAATAAAGCCTGACTAGTTTTTGGCGAGGTGACATGCTATCTATATAATCTTAGAATGTGATATAGCCTATAACGTTTTCTAGAAATAAGTTATCAAATGAAAAAATCCTTTTTTTCTAAATCCGACTGGTAGTTCTAGAGATTAGCACGTCTAAACAAACTCTGTCATTTTATTATATCAGTATCTACATACGCCTATAGAAAACTAAAATTCTTTAGTTACATACTTGCTAACGAGTTACGGATGTTCAGTTAATATTAGTGCCGTAGCACATGGAAACGCCTAAAGAGAAGCAGTTTGTTAGACACGCCTTCCATGTGCCAATATTACAGGAATAGACTGAAAACTGCGGATGTTGTAGCAGTAAAATATGATGTTGGTCTGGATAATAGACTTCATATAAATACCTATAAAGGAAACGTGAACAAATAAATTAGATATGTCTACAGACTGACGTAAGTAGTTATCTAAGTATAAGACAAACATAATACTCGATAAGTTTTCATCTATGCAAATTATTTTATTTTCAACCGACTTTAAAAACAATAAGGTTGAATACCTCATTCTTCGTATGTATTAAGTTATATTTTTCTTTTTATTGGTTACAGCATAATTCCGTCAGTTATAAACCGATTTGGATTTTTTTTTTCTGAAAGGATATACTTACAGATTGGTGCCATAGAAATGTTAACAAAATGAGTTCAGTAGCTTAGTTTTTTGAAGCAAAATAACTGGTATTGCCACAATTAAAATCAGTTTTTTTTTATATCTTTTGTATTCTATTTCTTTTTTGTGTTGTGTCGTTAAATAATATATAATATATGTAGGCACTGTGAAGATAATTAATTGAGAAACAATTTACCTATCAATCTTTCCATACACTAAACAACTTTAAACATATGAGTAAATAAAACGTAACATTGCAATATTATGTTGAGCCTTGATTATCTTTAATTACCTACCATAGTAAAATAGTATTTAAATGAAACTTAACAGTTTTAGAATCTACAGAATCTTTATAAATATTTCAATTAAGTATATGCTTCCCTTTTTGGTGATAAACAAAGAAATGCAGCAATAGACGTTCTGTATTTCACTTGTACAAAATTGGTTTTTAAATTTTGTCATGTATTTTAATGTTAATATTTCCAATGTTGATAGTATGAAAATAAGTTCTTAAGCTTCTGATCATCTGTTAGAGTTACAATTAGCAAGTTTCATTCAGAGAAATAACGTCCAGCAAAAGTACAATCGGCTGGAATGTAGAACTAGAAAGAAAGAATCTGGCGCATTGTAGCGTCAGCGTCATAGGACATAGCTTCCTGCGTTTTTCTCAGAATAGAAGTATTTTGAAGTCTCAAGTAGTTGCGTATCCTTCTAGACCGGTTGGGATATTATTATTTTATTTATTAAAAGAATATAAACATATTTATTCTGGCTGGCAGATAAAACTCAGAAAAACTCTCTTATCTATCAACGCAGTCTTTGATTTTGAACAAAAAATGCAGTCAAATTGTGAATCTTCTACGCTTTGATCGTGGCAATGGAGTTAGCATATATTTTGATATGTATGATCCTTGAATTTTGATGAAAAAATTGATTTTTTTTTTACAATAAATGAAATGTTTATACAATTCGGTTAAAAATTTTATTTGTTCATTCCAAAACGATGCAAGTTTTCATTATATTTACTGAATTTATTGGTCAAAATTCGAAGATATTATTTCAAGTGGAGTGTACACTCACCATTATCGTCGTCAGTGAGTGTGGAGAGTGGCCTCAAGTGTTCGAGTGAGTCGGCCCTGGCGAGTGCGTCGGGGGCGGCGCGCAGTGGCGCCGCGGGCGTCGGCGCGGGCGCAGCGCCTCCTGTGCCCTCACCTCGCGCGAATACTAGTTCCACGGCACCATCGTTTGGGAATGAAGGATCTGTTAACAATTAAGATAATTTGTAACAAATTGAGGTCTCAGGATTTGAAATTGTATGTAAATCTTAAGCCACAAATTAACATTGACGTCACTCGTCACAAAATTAGTATGAGACCAAGGCAGAAGTGGGTGGTCTGATTAAAAAAGGATAATTAAAATCGGTTTAATATTTACAATGATATGGTCTAATATATGTCGTTAAAATATTAATGATGAATATTGAAAATGGTCAAAAATACAGTTAAATTGAAATCTTCCTTTTTAAAGTTATAATTAAAAGTAATAATTTTATTAATATTAATATAGAGCGTGCCACATAGTTTAGCCACAGTACTTATTGTTGAACATATTCCAATCCAACTTGGCAAGCTACCGCTGTTTCTAAATTAATCGTGTTAGGTATTCTGTTTATATTAACAAAGACTAATTCTTGATAAACTCATTACGATGAGCCAGTTGACCTGACTTCGTCTTCATCTATTATCCTTTCCCGCTATCGTAAACCAGTAGCACAAGCGGGATTACCATTTAATTTTCATCAATTAAAAAATAATCAACAATAGAGAAGTTTTGTTTTTTAATAAAGAAAATATAGCAAAGATTACCATGCGCAGCGTGGTCGAGTTGTTGTTTAGTAAAAGACAAAGTGTGGTCAGCAACAGCGCAAGTGTGAAACTGGCACGCGAAAGCCAGCGTTCGCGGAGGAGCGCGCGCGTGCGCAGGTCTTCGGTACGCGCGTACGAGCACATCGCCGCGCAACGCTAGCCGCCCCACGCCCACCGTCCAGCCACCCCCGCTCACCATGTATAAACCTGCCCAAAGAATAACAATCATTATTATTTTTTTTTGTTGCAAAGTTATAACCGATTTCATTATACAACTTAGAATGGCAAACAAGCTGACGGCCCACCTGATGGAAAGTGGTAATTGTCGCCTATAGACATGAGCAGTACCATGGGCATAACAGAGTATACTGTTTGGCCCATGATACCCCCCATACGTTGCCATTCCTGAGGACTCATATGTTATTCCTCTATACCCTGTAAATTCACTGCCATATCCCACCCTTCAAACCGAAACACAGACAAGCAAACACAATTGCTTAACGGTAGAAACACAAATGGGACAGAGGTACCCAAGCAATCGAGTTTCGTACAAAGTCTCTCTCTGGTAACGTTATAACCGAATAAAATAAACGGTTAATTATATCATCCCCAGGTCGACTACCAAGCGATCCTACTTGGCAATCATCTTCATAAATTTTTGATGACTTCGTTACAATGGGCCTTCATTGACCTGCTTCCATCGTCAGTGTCCTATACCGATAGCACAGGCAAGGTTATCATTTCATAAGAAAAATTAGGTCCGCATTTATTGAGAATCACAGGGTACAGTTACAGCCATTCATCATCATCACAACTATGAAATACTTGTCTAGTGCAGGATATACTTATTGATTGGCAAATGTCTAGGTACTATTTTCCTAGAAAATGTAAAACAGCGTTTTTTCCATAAATGACTAATTTTGTAACAAAAATAGTTTCATTCACCATACATAAATCTAGTTTCGTCATGCCAATTTATTTGTCTAAATGCTATAAAAAACACGATAACACGGCTTACTAAATTTGTCAAGTATAAAAAAAAAACACATGCCTGATGTGTAAACGCAGACAAAGTTCTCATAAATCTTGAGGAATGCTATAGTAGGAGTGGCGGGGGAGGCCAGAGAACCAGCGACGCTAACGTGGGTTAAATGAAGCGGAGCAGCGTTTACTCGGATCTGGCCAGCTAGCAGGCCCGCGAATGTGTCTATGTACCTGAAAACAAATAAATAATAATATAATACCACTAAATATATTATACAGCGCCATCTAGTCTTAAATTAAGCAAAGTTTTTACTATGACTGCTAGACAACTTATACAATTTTTATAGCCAATACAAATAGACAAATTAATGAATATTAATACTTGTGTTATATGGGAATCGAACCCACGATTATCCCAAGGTGAAGTAAACTGATATACCAAGATTTTCTACAGCCGCTTTCAATATACACCTCTGATATTGTTTACAGATTTTAAGAAATCAATATTTTTATATCTTCAAAAAGAGGGTTGGCGACGCACACGTAACACCCCTAGTATTCCAAAGGTGTTCAAAGGCAACAGTGATCGTTTACCATCAAACAGTCTGTATGCTTTTGCCACCTATGTGATATAACAAAAGGTTCCAATCATAAATTTCAAGAAATTAAGAGGTTTAGTATTGGGATTCGATATTAGGACTCCGGGACCGCAGTTAGGTATTGTTCAACTGAGACGTCACCGTTTAAATTATAATTATCCACACAAATTTGTACTATTAACTTATAGACATAAATAACACCTCTGACAACACGGTATATACCTACCGTGTCATAGGGGATTCCTTATACGTCCTTACTCTTAACTTGTAACGGAGTAACTTCTAAGGTGTTTGCCTCTTCAATTAAATAATCAAAGTATTTTTATAGAGTTGTATGTTATATTACGAAATTGACTTTGTTAACATTCAGACCAAAACGCATGATGTATTGCCGCTATTACATGACAAAAATGTTATTGTCAGTGAGTACATGAATATGAATGTATGAATCGTAAATAATACGAGTTAAAGATATTTTTTATGACTAATAAACCCAAGGTTCCGAACATGAGATAAAATCTGGTTTAAATCAAGTTTTGCTATTTACATTGCCTAAAATTTTTGTTATGTATTAATATTCATATTTAATAAAATTCTACTAACTATAAATTAAATATTCATAATAATAAATTTTGCTTATAAATCTATCAATAATGTAATAAATAATAAGATTGTATCACAAATTATTTACCGTTTATTTGAAGGTAATCCGAAGACCGGTACCCGATCGTCAAGGTATCTTCTCATGGCGAATCTATCTAACGCATGCTCTGGAGCCCCGCAGATCGCAGAATAGTGCATGTACGCTGCTACCAAAACTCCTAGTCCTTCTCGATTACCCCTGTAAAATAACAAGTATCGGCATATAAGTAACTTACGAGTATATGCAAGAAGGTAGGCAATGATATTATAATAAAAATCTGCAATTTTTGGACGAAACAAAGAGTATCTGTCTATATAAAAGAACACTACCCTTGTTTTATTAAGTAGGCCTATTTATTATTAGACAGTTTTGATTCTGTTCTTCATTTCAAAGACAATTTCACCCTATGAATTTCTTTATTATATTATTAGCGAAACCAATTTATGACTAAATATTAATTTTATTTACTTATATTTATTGTGTGGTTTAATATAAAAGAAGTAAATCTAGAGACAGACGCAGATAGAGACTTATTTATTCTGTTTAATCATCATACTAATTTTATGACTTTAATATAAAAATTAACATATTCTTTATGTACAGATAAAAACAATAAGTATTAGTAGATGCTTGCATCATACCTATTGCCCTAATACTACAAACTTCAACGGTCTTGAAGGTACGGTAAGATGGTGATTATCTGTGTTTAAAATACGACATGTTATATCTAATAGATACATACGTATTGTTGATAACTTCATTAATTTATTATTTAAGAGGCACGTTCTTTTAGGTGGTGATTAGGTTAAATCTCTACCTCTTGATATAACATATTACCAACTTTTCCTTCATCTGGCTGATTTAACTATATTTCGGTATTTCCCTTTCTATCCCCCTATCTTATCTTCTATTATAATATTCATGTGTTCGTCGTATCGTATAAAGTATCCCAACATTTTCTGCTTTCTGTTTTCAATAATTTTTAAAGTTATGTTATAAGTGTTTTTTTTTAATAACTTACCACGCTAATAATATTGCTACATTCTTTGGATGCGCGGCGAGCCAGCTCTCAATGTGTTTACAGGCTGCACATAGTTTTTCCAGAGGCGGCGCTAGGTCACCCATCCATCCCAGCAGTTTGGCCCGTCCGAACACGTTTCGCGCTCGGTTTTCGTTACTGCCATCGCCGCTGCTCACTTCGAACACCTGGTTATCAGTATTTAATTTTTTTTTATATCTGCTACTAAAACACATAGAATATTGCATTAATATAAATAGGACATTTAACCTCACCAGAGAGCGAGGTTAACTTAATACGTATATGATGTAAGCCAATATACAGAATTATAAATAAATGCAGATTATAGTAAGGAGTGATATTACATTATTACTTGTTCTTGTAGTTGTGTATACCTGATAAAGTAAAAATCCCGATTGTGAAATAGGTTTATGCCAAATAACGTAGTGATCTACTAGTTTAAAAACTATATATCTAAGACAAATTGTTCTTTAATACTTACAAAGAGTAGCCGATGCTTGACTTTAATGTCATTTGTAAGTAATTTTTTTAAATTTTTTGTAAGTAAATTACGTAACTTTTACCTAAATAATTCCTCAAACTTAAGTTCTACATCTTATTACTTGCGACTTACCATAAAATGTTCTCCATGCTTGTTAGTAAGCATATGTGCCGCTTGTGCCTCAGCTTGTGCATCACGTACAGGTAGATGTAAGGCAAGCATGCGATCCGCCACATAGCATAAGTCTAGCCGGGAGTCCGCTGCCCCGCCTCCGGAGTAGCTCACCGAACGTGGCCCAGTCTATAAATAAATCATGGGATAAACATTATTAATTGTTGTTATAATAAACTAGTTGATCCTGCAAACGTTATTTTGCCCCCTACCACTACTTATCGGGACTTTTTTTCTTATCAGAATAAAAATTATTCCTTCTCTCAAATTGGAGTAAACAATAGGTACATTTACAAAAATTTGTTAAAATCAATTGTAAGGCTTTGAAGATAAGCATGTAGGAACATAGTATATTTATGTATTTTTGACCATCAGCTTTTAACATTAAGTCTGTGTTGTTATACATTATACTAAAGAATAAATGAATAAGACATGCATACTATAACAAGATAGTTATTCCATTCAGGCAATTTAAGCTTTGGTAATAAATGTGATAATGGTTTTAATAATAAAGACAACAAAATTTACAAAATCTTATACTCTGTTTCAATTAAGTTGCATACGTTTAGTTATTTTTGACATTTTATGATGTTAATTTAATTCGAGTGCTAATCTTATAAAACGATTATGCAATATATGCAATTTTTTTATATGCAATGTATATATGCAATGGTTTTTATATGTTTTGGATGTGTTAAGCGACTTTTGGTTTTGATGGTACGAGTAGAAGGTGGTGTCGTTTTGTGTGAATCGTCTGATGAATTTATATGTAGTTGTTTTTCAATTTACGTATGATAATTCCCTTTAGTTGGTCAGAGGTGGCAATACATAAGATGTGCACTGAAGCAAACATATGACGTTCCTGTGACTATAGGATAAAAGCTACCAGTCTGATTTGTTACCACTAAATAAGTATAAAAAATAGATATTATTTTCATTGCGATGTTCACACAACGAATTCAGATGATTTATAATGTTTTCTTTTTATAATTGCGAAAACAAATACCGACTCTTAGAAATCAATTTATTATGATTTAGTAATAAATGTTGCTACTTGTCAGTATTTGTATTTTAATAAAAGAACAACTGTACTTATCCACAAGTTTTGTAAGTGCAATTGAATATAATATAAATTTAATGCCCTGCGTGGTTTCGCAAAGTTATGGTACGACATAAAGAGTTATTCGACTAGAAAACGAACTCGTTATCCTATATTATTTAATCTATATGAATACATTCGATTAATGGTGCTGACAAATTCTCATTAAAACAAATAACTAACTGAAATTAATTCATCCATCTAGAACCTACAGCACCTTTAGAAATAGATACTTCATTATTATAAAACATCTCTGTCTTGGAAGATAAAAAGAATACTGAAAAGTAGCAGAATGGGTTATAGTTTTCAAGTTTGCCTTGGGTACGTATATGCCAGATCAGATATCAGTTTGTAGACGTGCCCGCTATAATTCTGTGAAAGTGACACAATCCATGCGTAGGCGCACGCAAATGCGACGCGACGGCCCGGAAGCTGACTTCTAAGCACATAATCGGATTAACTTGGTCGATGCACAAGTTCTACTAAAGTTCTATGTAACTAAGTCCATTTAAGCGTAAAGACGTTTATTTTGTATTAGTGTACTGGATCGTTCACCGATAAGGATAATTGCTATTACTGGTATATATTTTAATTAATGTAACATTATTGTAATAGAAAATAAAAATTTGTTCAGAAGCGAATAAATTTCCTCTTTTTATAATGGGCTGAAAATTATTATTTATATTTATAGAATTATATGGTCTAACACAGGCAAAGGGCATTAACAGCTTAATATGACAATTTTTATGCCGAAATAGCAATACCAATTCTTACAGAGATAGAAACGAGATCAAATTGCCCTGGGAAAAAGCATAATTATAATCATGATGAATTAACACATCGATTACCTCTAAGATATTTCGTATACGTATTGTATTACAATTTTTTTTTTATTTAGAACGAATAAATTTTATTTCGCAATACAATAAGCAGCTTTTTGCTTAGAAAATAAAATCAGCAGATTAAATAGTCGTGTCACAAAATTAAAATGGTAGTGAATTCTGTCATATGCATAAAGAATTATCAGAGTGGATTTATAATTGAGAACTAAATTTTTAAACGAATTGAAAGTCTTTTCTGAGAGTCGTTTAAAAACTGTTTTAAAGCAATTTAGCACATTATTTCATATATATATAAAAAGTCGTATCTACCAAATATTTAATAATTTATAAGTGATTAATACATTATTTAATATTTCGTATACCGAAAATAGAGTGTAACGGTACATTCAGTTCCGGATTCTTAAAACTACTAGTAGGTATTCTAAAATAGTCATACAAACAGCTATTAGGACTGTTATGTGTCAACTGTTTTATCAACTATAGTTTAATGTAAAGATGTTTCTTCCACGAGTATCTGATAAGAAGTTAGATTTCGTAGATAAAAGTGTCTATTGTAGGCCAGATAGTATAATACTATACTAGTAAGATTCATAGTTTTGTTTTATACTAGATATGTATGCAAGTAACATAAGATACAAACCTGTTCTCTCGTGAAGCCTGCAGGAGTAGCAGGGGCGCTAACAGTTCGTGTCTGAAACAACAAAAAAACGTGACCATCATTATATGACAGCAAAACTCATTATTATCACGTTACGCCTATTGCAAAATAAATCGAAATGTTCTTTCTTGCTTAAGGTCACAACAGACATTAAAGTTAAATCAAAAGTAATGTAATTGTATTCTCTAGGGTTCCGTAACAAATAAAGTAAAAAGAAACCCTTATGAACTTCCATCTGCTCGTTCGTCCGTTCACCCTACAGGGCTACATTATAACACTCGCTAAATTTCATTTTTAGATATTGTTGAACAAATCGAAAAAGAACGAGTAACTCAGGCTTTTCAAAGCAGGGATACTAATTAAAATTAATAATAACTAATTAAATATTGCATTAAATTTATCATTGGCCGTGTGGTCTCGGCATAGAATAGGCCACCCCTTCCTTTTCCGTGGGTGTTACAAAAGTCGACTAAGGTAGAGCGAGGGATACACAGCAGCGTCTCTCTTAAAACATCTTTAAAGCCTAACTGTTGTTTCCAATCCGCCTACCAAGCGTGGCAACTACTAGCCAAACCCCCCAAGGGAAGCCTATGTTCAACAGTGAACAGTTAAAGGGTGATGTGATAATGATGATAATTGCATCAAAGGGATTCATTTGGATATACACACAAACTGGTCTTTATTTTTTTATACCGGCTAGTTTCCCACATATAATTTAAATTGTAAGAAAATATTTTTATTTAATAATAGTTACAGCTTAAAAAAATAATACGTAATAGAACAATCTTTCCTAAATATAAGAAAATTTTCCTTAGATCATCTAGTTGCAATAATAATAATAAATAGATATTTATGTTGATGATGTTATATGTGTATTTTTTATGTATTATTATGTATTTTAATTATAGCAACATACTGAAATAATTTTCAGTATGTTGCTATAATTATGTCACATATTTTTCACCACATCTGCCCTTCATACACTTTCTGTTTTTACCTAATGGTTAGTTGGTAGAGAATGCCATATGGCATTAAGCTCGCCACTTGTACAAAGTTTTATTGTGCAATAAAGAATAAATATTTATATCATACAAGAAACATAAAAAATATATTTATAAATTAAACCTATTTGACAATTATTTTAAGTACGGACCCTTTGGTGTATGAGTCCAACTCTTACTCGACCGGATACATCTCTCAATGACATAGTCAACTGTCAGAGGATATTAATCGAATCTTAATATGAATTTAATTCAGAAAAGTACCTGGTAAGTACGAGTAATTAAATGCCTATCTAACATTTTGTAAATTATAGAAAATTTATATTGTGTTATTATATTAAATTATATAAAAACCAAAAGTAAATATGTAGTATAGGGCGCCTCCTGGGAGGTGGAGTGACTATCGCAAAAATGTTTCAAGTAATCGCTAGATGCTCAAGATTGTACTTTGTGGTCAATATTTTTATGGATATTTAAATATATAGATAATTAAATATGAAACTTGAATTTCATTCAAGTTTTTCATAACTAGTGAACTTTCTTTTCGACCGACTTCTAAAAGAATGTGGTTCTTAATTCAGTTGCATTATTATATTTGTTACCTGATAACTCCGTCAGTTCTATCCCGATTTGAAAAATTCATATTTATCTGAAAGAGTATATTTACAGATTTATACCATAGAAATTTTATTAAAATCAGTTCTAGTCTAATTTTTAATTCAAAATAATAGGTTTTACCACAATAGAAGTAGGTTTTTTTCGTGGGACATAATCTTTAATTACAAATATGTACCATGGTATCCAATGTCTATATTGTGTGAAAGATGTTTGACTATCTACGGACCAAATTATCAATATTTTTATTTTTTCATTTTAACACTTTTGTTTTTAGTTATTATGTGTGTATGTGAAGTACCAATTTTACATAAAACGATTTAATACTTAGTAGTTTAATACACTAGTTACTTCCTTTGTATATACTAGTTAATTATGTAGAAATTGCTGTTGTGGAGGAGGCATAGTACGGCCGCGAGCCTATCGCGATCGGTCGGACGGATCAAGTTCAATAAAGCTAATAAATGCGAGCGGCTAGGTGCGGCTTAAGTGATTACTGCAGCTTTTGTGGGGTGCTGCGCTTGTTCGCTATTTATTATACGACATACCGTTCAAATTAGACAGTTTCTTATGAATCATCGTTTGTTACATAAAAAAAAATTTAAATATTCTGAACACAAAAGAAAAACTTAAAATTGAATAAAATTATTGCAAATAAGTCCTTTTAATTAATAATACCTTTTTCTCTTGAATCTTGAAAAATCTTGAGAAAATAGACAAAAAAATATCCTTATTATAATGTCGGTTACATTTTTCTCTATCCATTATAAATGTATTTATTGTATTTATAGCAGCACCAATTTTTTTTTCTAATTTTGTCAAAGATACATCGCTCCTATTAAAGTGTTATAGAATCAGTAAAAGTATATGTAGGCGGTGTTAGAATCTTGATTAAGTTTGACCCAAGCGAACCATACAAAACACTATAACCAGCAAAACATGGTACCTCATAGTAAAACAGGTTAAGTTCTTATTTATGTTATTAATATAACTGTTAAACATATCATTACGGCGAATAAATTTATAGTTTTATAGAATACTAGCTGTATCCTTCGGATTTCCTGTAAAATATCCCAATTTATTCAAATACTTTTTATATTTGGTATAAAAGAAGTATTTAGAGTGAAAAAAAAAACATAGTTTACTTTTTATCCTGGTAAATTAATTTATTGATTCACGGACAAAATTTTCATTAATTTTGAGAACTTTTTCTCGTTCATTCTTTCCTGTTGTCGTTTTTGATAGCGCCTGTTTTGGAGATATTTTAATTAATTAGGCATTATAGCATATCGATGGTTATGTAGTCCTGGCATAGAATAGGCTACCCCTTCATTTCCAGTGGGTGTCGTAAGAGACGACTAAGGGAGGGCGAGGAATGGGTAGCAGCAGTTTTCATTTGAAACATCTCTAAAGCCTAACTGCGGCTGCCAATTTGCTTGCCAAGGCGAGGCTTTTGTTTAGCAATGGTCATTTAAAGATTGATAAGATGACGATACGTCCGTGTGGTCCTAGCATAGATTAGGCCACCCCTTCCATTCTTGTGGGAGTCACGAGAGGCGACTAAAGGAACTTAATGGTAGAGGGATGGGCAGCAGCATCTCTCTTAAAACATCTCTAAAAGCCTAACTGCGGTTGCCAACCCACCTGCCAAGCGTGGCAATTACCGGCAAGACACCCCTTATGGGGAAGGCTCCATTAAGGGGAGGGTTATGTTCATCAATGGACAGTTAACGGCTGAAATGATGATGACAATGATAACACACCGATAGACGTCTTCGACATCCAACAGCGACACTGCGTGACCGCGCGCGAAGTTCTCTGGGTCCGCGTTGCAAGTAGAACACAGCACGCCACAACGCAAACGCCAAACGATGGAGCGTCCGCGCAGCATCTGCACCGCCGCCATGACGTCGCGTCCTCTCACGCATTTCAATTTATTTCACCTACGCTCACTACCTCCGCAGCCCATTTGACAAAAAGAGCACACAAATTTCCCATCGATATTCAGCACAATGACACGACACTTTCACCTTTGTCAAACATGTAAACTTGTCCACCAAATTCTATGAATGTTGTTCTCATAATTAGTACATAGGTAGAGCGCTTATTGTAAATTGTTGTACATCAAAATAGTAATAACAATTCGAGTACAACACTGTTATTTTTATATTGTTATAGCTTTATTATAAAAGAAAAGATAATATCTGTAACTTTGTTTAGTCTGTACTAAGTAATTATGTATTAAGTTTATTTTGTATAATAAAGAGAAATGTATCAGCATATAGATGATCGCGCCTAACATTTTCTACGATCATCCATTATTCGAAATATTTCGTAGACTAGCTTTGTAGGAAGTTCGTAAACATTATTTTTAGCGTTAATGAGGTTAAAATGTTCAAGAATACTAATAAAATAGTTATAATTATGTTGACCATGACCAATGTTCACGTTAAGTGAACAAACCTGTTGAGTACTGTTAGGATGTCAACATTAAAAAAGTAAATTTATAGTATTCCATAAAAACTTTTTTATGCCCCTTCTTTTGTTAAGAAAAACAAAGGATTCTTTTAAAATCTCGGTGCGACCACTGAAACGCGATGTGAGATAACAAAAACATGTGGCCAACGGCGCTGGGCGCTCGCCGCCCGCAGTACAGCGGCGCCGCCCTGGCCGGGAAATGTGCAACCCTGCACTGCGTCATCCTCGCTATCATACCATTAATATTTACAATACTACCCCTATTAATTTTTACTAACTTTTCTTAACAACATGGAACGTACATTTCTCAACAGATAATTGAAAATACCGTAACATATTTGCATAACAATGCACTTTCACAATGAACTTAAGGCGACAGATAATGGTGTACAAATCCCATTACGATAATGGTTAACACCAGTATAACCATGACCTTCCTCGTAAAACGAGCCAACACGCGCGGGGGTTAACGACCTCGGGGGTGAGCTGCATCTAAATAAAAGATCGTCACATGTAGGAGCATGAACGGTCACCGACTGCAGACGGTCGGGACGTCCTTTCATACTACTTCAGCATTCAGCTGTTATTGCTTGCATTCTAGATTCTTATATACTGTTTTCAAATCGAAACATAAATACCTACATAACTTTCTTACATCTACGATAACATTGAGATTGCACCATTCATTGAATTTAACTCTATTAATAAGTATCAGTGTCATTGTATCAATAATTTTTATAATTAGTTAATATTACAAAAAATAATATAATCTATAATACGATTTAAAACAATAGCAAGGATAATATCATAATTAATTGTGTGATAATTACTTTTAGTTGCTTTATCAGTTTAAAAAGAGATTGTAGAGTTATCAAACATTATTGTACATGTTTTGCTTATCTCTCGTGAGATGAGACTTAAAATATTGTAATGAGTGCG